CGCTCCGAAGTCAAACGTCTTCCTGCTTATTCTCCGTTCCTCTGTATACAGAATAAGCTATTCCTGCTACCCTGGCCCTCACCAACTTCTTCTCTCCCAAGGAACCATGGACTGAAGATCGCAGTTGCCAGGGTTTAACTCACCTAACCCCCTGCGATAACTAGCTCAATTCGAAGTGCACCTTGGGAACGGTTGCTGCTTCCGGCCTCTAGAACAGCCAATCAGAAGCCGACTCACAGAGGACCTCATGTGATGGCTGCCACCAGACAACACTTCTTGCCACACCGCTCTAGCGGAAGGGCGTGTGTTTCGACAGTCAAAAGTGCGGACCCGACCCGACTAGGGAACGGATGCACTAGTCCGATAATTAAATCTCCTGCTAACTATTCTTTCAACATCCCGTGGAATAAACTCTTCCTATCAATCTGGTCTTCGCATGACTTTTCTTTTCTCTTCGAAGGAACCGAGCCTGGAAGATCGCAGCCGTTAGGGTTACCTCAATTAGCATTAACACCGCGCGATAACATAAGACACTTGAGTTCACTAACACAACATACCAGAGCAATGCACGAAGCAAGCACATCAAGAGTACGTGGTATCTCGGAGCATGGCGTTGGACTTACTTATGACATCCATGGAGATCTCGAAAGGCCCCGCGATATTCCGGTTCCAGCATCAAATTTGTTATAACGCCAAGCGTGCAGTATTCAGAGTCCAAACGATTCGAATTAAGCAAGTCGATTAGTAGGCTGCAGAGGCTGAAAACACCATCCAGTCCCGGATCGAGGTCATCTTCAGCTCGATAGCTGCTCCAAACTGCGAGATGTGCTAATGACTTCCGCACTTCCTGATTACCTGTGAGGTTACCCAACACTCGCACAGCTCCCAAGACAACCTCTTCATGATTGTTGTATTCCACAAGGACCTGGAGGCAGACTGCTCGGAATGAAAAGAAAAAGGGTTAGGCGATAAATGAGTGTAGATTAGCCGAACTTTTGTAAGGGGGAGAAGTGCCTCCAAAAATGCGGTCGAGATTTTGTCTCCAAATAGAAAACCAAGATTAATGTAATAGTTAATGTTATAACCGTGTGTGTTCCTTTGTCGACACTGGTTATGTCCCCCAATTACGCGTTAGAAAGAGAAGGCAGAACAGGATAGCAGATAGTACGTTACTGTCAGTTCTACTACTACATCAGCTTTGTCTTCTGTGTGTCCAGTAGCTGGTCTTCTGTCGTCGTCTCGGCCAACAGCGTTCCGTGTCTCTAGCAGCCGTGTCCCGGGTCGCTAGCAGCAGAATCTCGGGTCGTCGACAGCGTCTTCAGCAACAGAGTCCCGCCTTCAGCGGTGGCAGCATATTAAAGAGCCAGTAGTCATTGTCCCCTATTGACTTTCCACTACTGGCCTCTACAGGCAGCCGTCATGCCTCCAGCCATCGTGTCCTCAGGTGACCGGTCGCGTCCTCGGTGACGCGCGCACTTGCATACATCTTTTCGTGGCCCTTGTCATGCATGACCTCAGAACCTGGGCAGCGGCGGTCTCGCATGTTCGCACTTTCTTATCCTGCCTCGAGGACGGCGCGAGTGTTGGGTCCTCCTAACAGTTAAATTTACCACGAGAAGTGTCGCTTGTGGCTTTCATCTCACCAAGTCCTCAGGACATTCCTTTGAACGCCCAATTTTTACGTGTTCCCCGTTTTACAATTGGGTCAAATCAACCATAGGGTATTTCGCGCTGGACAGAAACC